GCTATTGTTTTCATTTTGGGCCCTCAGTTTTTGAAGGTAAAGTTAAGGTTCTCTTAATATTTCTCATTGATTTGACAACTACAGGGATGTTTGTATGCAAGAGTTCGTACGACTGGTGTTGTCCAGAATCCAATTCAGGTGAACATGTGACTGACAACTTTGTTACCGAAATGATACTGAGAAGTGCTTTACTGTACCACCACTTGTCGTAGCAATTTTTTAACTCATTTGTTCGTATGGCCTTGTCTTTATTTTGAGTATGTAAAACCACCTGTATACTGAAGCTGGGTAGGCTCTTGTTTCAACATTTATTCTGAACAATTACATTTTTTAATCATTATGTGTTGCTTGAAGATGCAAATTGTGTGAATAAAGATTCAAACAACATAGATGGTGGTTCCTCATCTACATCTTCAATATGATTTACTGATAGAACCAACTTCATCAGTATGTTTTTGCTATTTTGACAGTCCTGTTGGAGAAAATAAGAGAAGTGGTGAAGTCTATAGACTCTTTGATGTTGGTGGCCAGAGAAATGAGAGGAGAAAGTGGATCCATCTTTTTGAAGGAGTTACAGCTGTAATATTCTGTGCTGCAATTAGCGAGTATGGTCTGACATTTGGTTGCATAGCTTAATATGATTTATAATAGTGGTGATAGAAGCCTATTTGGACTACTAAAAGTGTATAAATCTCAAAAACTTATCTTATTTCTTGTCTGCATATCTGTTTGGATTGTTTAGCACACCAAATTAAAAAATCATAATCCAGCTGCACATCCACAGACACACTTACAATTAAACTCTTTCTTTATGTTTTTCCTTAACACTTAAAAATGTTCGATGATTAGCAAAAGTGCTGACTTTACATTTACCTTCCAGGTATGATCAAACACTTTATGAGGATGAAAACAAGAACAGAATGATGGAGACTAAGGAACTTTTCGAGTGGGTCCTGAAGCAACCATGTTTTGAGGTTTTCTTTTTCATTTTTAAATTGTAAAAACTACATTTTTATAGAAAGTCTCCTTTATTATATGAAAATTAACATTTGTGTCTATCTTAGTGAATAATGGCGGTCTTATCTTTTGTGGACAGAAAACATCCTTCATGTTATTTTTAAACAAGTTTGACATATTTGAAAAGAAGATCCTGAAAGTAAGAACCATCCACATGAGTACACTTTGTCATAGGTGGAGTGTGTTATCATTTCAGTTTAATACCTTGCATTGTGCAGGTTCCGCTCAATGTGTGTGAGTGGTTCAAAGACTACCAGCCAGTTTCAACAGGGAAGCAAGAGATCGAACATGCGTATGAGTAAGCAACTGTTTGAATAAAGAGTGCTGCTGATGAAAATTCAAGTGCTAGAAGATGAAGTTTTCATGTAACTTGAACCATTGACTTAGTTGGATAAGCTATGTGTGCAGGTTTGTGAAGAAAAAGTTTGAGGAATTGTATTTCCAGAGCATTGCTCCTGACCACGTAGATCGTGTGTTCAAGATATACCGGACCACTGCTCTTGATCAGAAGCTTGTGAAGAAGACTTTCAAGCTTGTTGACGAGACTTTGAGACGGAGGAATCTGTTTGAAGCTGGCTTATTATGACCATGCAAGAGTGTGTTTAAGAGGAATATGGTATAATTTTACATTGAAAAGGTCTTCTGATTTTGGGTATATTAGAGGTCAGGTATACAACAATATAAAATCCATTTGTTGATTTTATGTGGGTGGATTGGGAAAGCCTTTCTCAATACTTGATCACACACCACATCCCTCTTTAGAAAGTAAAGTAGTTGATTATCTTTTCATTGATTGAAAGTCACTAATCAAATACTCCACATCTTTTATTTAAGCTTGCTAAGTGTTGATCAGTTTTCTTTTGCTGATTTATGTTAGTCTGCATGTTCAGCAATCATGCTAATTTCAGTTTTTTAGTTTACTTTCTAGCCTTTTGTTCTTAGTCCATTTATTTCTTTTGAACACTTGCACGAAGACTCGTTCATTTTATCAACCGACAACTATACTTGATTGTCTACAACCTATGGATCAAACAACATGAAAATTCGTGGTTCTACATTTGGGTGTACTCTAAAAAATACTAGTTATTTTTTGAAGTCAATTAGATAAATTTGAAAAACCTTATACAAGAAAGTGTAAACCCTCCTTCGCATCTTGGGGTCGTTCATTTTCGTAAAGCTTAGTATCTCATCAGGCTAATAATGTGTATCTTGAATTTTCACCGTGTTCACTTAAAAATTAAGTTTTTTTCATTGATAATGAAAATGCAAATCGTCGATTGCCACCAAACTGATATAACTCTAGGAGTCGAGGAATACGAAATTAGAACATGAAATGTTCAAATGATATAAGTAAAAACTAATGGTTCTGTAATTACTTTGATTACTTAATAGGGAAAAATAATATATAAAAGACGAATCTACGGTGTTGATGAAAGATGTATATTTGAAGTTTTTCCAAGAAACGTTGGCTTTAGAATGAAGGAAAGATGGTTTTGTTTTGTTGGTTGATAAAAGGTAAAAAAGTAAGAAGGAGAATAAGCGGTGTAGCTTTATCTTTGTTTGTGAGGCAAGAACTTAGCAATCCACATTCTGAATTGCTAAGAATAGTAGCGGTTTCAAAATCTCTACGCATAATAACAAAGGCTTCTGGGTTCTTTTTCTCAAGCAACAATCAACTCAACCTCGTTTTCGTTTCTCTATAACCTCTTACAAACACCTCATTCTCTCTTCTCTTTCCCCGTTCAAGCGTGTAAATGGGTAACAGACAAGTATATTTGGCCATGATTATAGCATGGCTTACTTTGTTTGAAGGAAACATGATGCCTGTCAGTGGTGTTTGAATTACAAGGAGGCTCTCACCAAGTCCCTTATCTTCCTCGAGGCACAACGATAGGGAAACTTCCCTCAAGTAATAGGGTGCCCTGGAGAGGAGACTCAGCACTCGATGATGGAAAACTCGCCAACGTCTCTTTCTATCTTTTTTTCTTACACCACAACACAACAAATTATCATATTATACCGTTTGAATCATACAATATATAGCTTCTCTGTATACACAGACAACAAATTATTATATATTTACATGTTGCATGCATGCATGCAGGTGGACCTTGTCGGAGGGATACTATGATGCAGGGGACAATGTGAAATATGGTCTCCCCATGGCTTTCACCGTTACTACGCTGGCATGGGCTGCTATTTTTTACAAGGAAGAATTTAAAGATGCAAAAGAGATGGATCATCTTATCGATGCCATTCGCTGGGGCACTGATTATTTTCTCAAAGCTAGTTCTCGACGCAAAAGATTATACGTAGAGGTGGTGCATTCTTTTATTAGCTACCCTATAATTTTGCCTTGTTTGTCATAGCACGCTTCATTCTCTCTTAAAAAATATTATTAATGCAGGTAGGGGACGCGGAAGAGGATCACAAGTGTTGGATTCCACCAGAATATATGAAGACACCGAGAACGGTTAAGAAGATTGGTGAAGGTACGGCCGGGAGTGAAATCGCAGCTGAAAACTGCAGCTGCATGGCAGCTTCTTCATCGTTTTCAGACCCAAAAATCGTAAATATGCTCGTTCTCTTCTCAACAGAGCTAAAACGGTACGTGAAGTATTTCATGTCTACTCGGTTAACTTTGCGGTGCATGAAAATCTTATAAGTCTTAATTTTCTTTCTTGAATAAATTTGGTGTAGCTTTTCCATATGGCCAAATCGCATAAAGGAACTATGATGGAGAGTGTCCCTTCTACTGCTCTTATTCCGGCTATAATGTAATTAGTTTCTCCTCTAACCTTTATCTCTGAATCATGGAGAAGACACCCTTTTGATAATTTCTCACGAATTATGAAGTTTAAAGTATCACTGCAATGTGAATGTGTGGAATGCAGGACGAATTGATGTGGGCAGCAACATGGCTATACATTGCTACGAAGAGGTCAATGTATTTAAAGTACATATTAGAAGATTCCAAGAGTGCTAGTGTATCAGAATTTAGTTGGGACCTTAAATATGCCGGAGCTCAAGTCCTTCTTAGCCAGGTTTAATTTCCTATGATCATTCTTCTTCTTCTTCTTCTTCTTCCTTTCTCATGAATGCTTAACACATGGTGTTGTTTGTCAGTTATATTTCGAGGGTGAAAAGAAGTTCGTGAAATTCAAATACCATGCAGAAAGTTTCATATGCTCTGTCCTTCCAGACAGTCCCTACCACCAGATTACAATGTCTCCTGGTCAGTACCCTCTTCCTTTGTTTGTGTTTGCAGTGCTAAAAATGAACCAAATCTATGAACAATGGTGTTTTGCAGGTGGCTATATTCATTTACGAGACGGAGCCAACTCGCAGTATGCAACTAGCACCGCTTTCTTGTTCAGTGTATACAGTGATTTGCTTGCCAAACATAAAGACAAAGTTGTTTGTGGTGACAAAAAGTTTAGCTCTTCCCGTCTCTTATCTTTCGCTAAGGAACACAGTTAGTACACACACATATACTCCATTTAAAGATTGATTAAAAAACAACAGTTATTGATTGCAATGTTTGGCACAGATGGATTACATTCTAGGGAAAAACCCACTGGGAAGATCGTACATGGTAGGATTTGGAAAGAACCCACCAAAGCAACCTCACCATAGAGGTGCTTCGGTGCCGACACTGAAAAAGGGTGAAGAAGATGTGCCTTGTGGCATGACCTTCTCAAAATGGTTTATGAAAGATGAACCTAACCCTCATGAACTCACCGGTGCTATTGTGGGTGGAGCTGATCGCGAAGACAACTTCAAGGACAAACGTTGGGAGTCACCCTACACTGAACCATGCACCTACGTCAATTCCCTGGCTGCTGGAGTTCTTGCAAAGCTTGCATCTTTGTCTTGATTCATTTTCATCTTATTCCAAATTTTGATATAATTGTTACGCTGATCACATATATTATCAATAACACCTGTAATTAATTACTTACCTCTTAATTTAGATCCAGATTAATGAGCTTCTATCTTGCTCCCACTAAATAGATGAATAAGAATTAGGAAACATATGAACCATGAATAATGTATTATGTATTCACTTTAAGAATATGTCAAACCCTTCTTCCTGATCTCCTTAATTTTTGTGATTTTTCAAGAAAAAAAAGTACAATATATTCTCCAAATGACAATCTCATTCAAAAGATTTGTTTTATGTTTATGGTCGTTAATGTACATACAATCTTAAATCATAGAATTAGCATCGTGAAAAAAAATATTTATTGCATTTTTATTTTTATATAAAACATTTTATCTTTAGTATTAAAGCTGTTCTTGTAATTACTTAAATTGATATCAACAAGGTTTTTGAAGAGAGATTGAAATGAACTTTAAAAAAATCAACAAACTTAATTGCAATTTAAACAAAAAAGGCAAATGATAGTCGAGTGTTTAAAATATCGAAAGAAAAGTGCACATTATTTTTATTAATTATTTAAAATTAAATATTAAAGGTATTTTGATCTTTAAATAACATATATTTTGGAATATTTGGGACGTGGATGTGTTTCACTTGCAAGTGAAAAGAATACACTGTGATATACTCTCTTAGATGCTGATGCAGAACTGTTTTTGGGTTTTTGTTTGTTTTTTTTATTAACGTTTTATTCTCCCATACTTCATCGATACATTTCGTTAGAATGAAAGGAAACTAAATATATTTAATAATTTGCAAACTTAATAAATATACATTCTTTATTTGGTAACAAGAAATGATAGTAAAAATATTTTTATGATGTTTTAAATAATTATTCTCTTATTCAATTTTTTTTTTCTGGTACTCCAAAAAAAAATGTAAAAATTTATCAGATTTTAGCACTCGTTTGATACAAATGACAAGGCGTTCAAGCAATACTTCAGCTTTGGTCGTATTATTAAAATTTTCCAAAAGGTAATTCAGAAATAAGTTTTTTTGTTCTGACTTATGAAAAGAACATTAATTTTAATGTAATTAAGTGAACAATTAATTTTAAATAAAATTAATTGAGATTTTTTTAATGTATAATTTTATCTCATTCAAACATGCAACTATACTCAGTGAAGAGTAAATATGATCTCAGAAAAAATATTCACCACTCTTTTTATAAAATTAAATTACTGATTTCTATTTTAATAATACTCTAATTCTTTATATTTTACTTAATTGTTTGCATAACCTCAAAAATAAATTATAATTTTTAAAACGTCTTATGGGCATAATTTGTGGAAACAATGAAATAACTTTTTTATTCGACTATGTTATATTATTTTACCTACTATATATTATAAATATGTAATGTCAACTTTTAAAAAAAAATCAGTTAGAACTTGGAAATTACAGATATAACATTTTCAAGTATATTACAAATAAAGATTATGAGAATGTAATTGAATGAAATCAATAAAATAATTCTATATTTTTCAAGTAAAACAATAATTAAATTCAGTCAAGACGAAAAGCATTGGTTGTTCATACCACTCCTTGAAGACAATATAATGAGACTAACAAAGTTCATTAACGCCCATCATACTTAATTGAAATGATGATGATAGGGTTATCAGTCATATTTCTGACCTTGAGTAAGACTTTGAAAGATATAGATCATTGATGTCGTTACTCAATTGTGGTTACATGGCATGTGGTGGTGTCGACCAAGGACTAAAAGTAGTCCCTTTTTAATCGCCAGCAAACCTGTGCCGTGCTTCCAAAATGAAACAATGACATTCAAAATCTCAAGGCTGAAGTTACAAAAAATATTAACATTTAAAAGGAATAAAAAAAAAGTGAGACGGAAGGCTGAAGTTCAGCATTTTTACATAAATGAATAAACTTTTAATTTCTTTGGCCAAGGCTCTGATTACAAATGCATACCTACATAGAATACAACAAAAGTGATGAATACAAATAAGATGAGCCTACATAATAATAGCAGCAGCACGTCAAAACTTTACTGTTATCCTATCTTTAGATAATTACAGTTTGCTGGTTTAACTGTAATCCGAAGAGAAATTACAAATCAAACCAAGAGAATCATTCTTCCACCTCTGATTGGTAACTAATATCATGAGTACCAAGGGCATTCAGTGACGAGACCGATAAATCTGATGACAACTAAGGTTAATGTCCATTTGAATGGGGGAAATTTCCGACTGGGCTGTGCTCTCATTTAATCCCAGAGATCACATATTGAAGCAGAGTTTCAATCGATCTTCCAATTGTAGTGTAGATAAATTATTTCTCATGTAAAGTAAGAAACTGGGCACAGGGATATTCGCACAAAAATGCTGGGGGATCGATATCATCAGTATTTATAGCAGGGATTGCCATATCTATGTCTTCAGCAGAAAAAGGAATGCTGCACCAAAAAAATTAAAGGCTAAGAGAGGGGGTCAAAGCTACCCTTGTTTAATATATTATAGGTCCTGTGAGAACATTTTACCAGACATTTTATTAATGAGTAAACAAAGAATCAATGATTGTGGAAAATGCATTTCTCCGTCATCCCAAAGAAGAATAAAGTATGCAATGCAATTTAACCTAAACGCACTACATGACATAGTCAGATTAGGCTACTAGACTTTACTTAGTTTCAAAATTACATAATAGGCTATTTGTAAAAGCATCTTACAAATACACTTTTATTGGTACCATGGCAATAATAAGAACGCCAATCACTTGTTAAAACTACAAAGAACTAAAAAGAACTGATATTGCTGAAAGCAAAGCACCTCATATCATCGTCCAACAAGAAAGAATTAGTTGTCAAACTCTGATTGTCGCTGCTCACAATTTCCCTCATTTCGTTAACTACCTGTTCACCATAAGTAGTTCAGAACTCCAAAGATACTACGACAACATAAAAGTACTTTAAATCAATTCAAAACACAACTTGCCTCGTTGGATACACTTTGGGTTGCATATTTGTCGTCCCAGTACATTGTACAGATCCGATAAATTTGCCTCACTGTTAATGCCTGTTAAAGTGAACTAGAAATAGGTTAACCCTTCTATAAACAGTATTTTTTTCAGCAAAAGTACAAAAGAGAATATTAGGGGCAACTTCCTTCCAACACAGCATTGACAATCCAACTGTTACCCAGGTATTTATTATATACGTCGGGCCAAAAAGACTCCACATATTTACTTGCAAGAAACTAATAATTTAAGAAATAAATGTATCAATTATATTGGAGCAAACATTGACTTTCACATATAGCTATTTTATACCATCAACATTTCTTCATCTAACTTCAAAAGAATTTTCACTTCAGCCAAATAATTGATTCAATGAAAAACAAAGCAAGAAACAAGAACCCCTGGGTCATGGTCACAAATTTCTTAATTGCAGGTTCAATTTCTCTGGCATATTCACAAAACAACAGAACTTTAAATCATTTGAGATGAAAAACTATTCAGTATAAACGTGTGATAAAAGAGATGTTGCAATCATTAAGAACAATATAATGTTTATAATACCGGACAAAGATCCTGCCGAATTTCTTCCAAAGATTTTTTTCTCTTCTGGTGTATTACCTGTACAATTAAAATAAATGAAAATAAATATAGCATATCAGTGCTATTTGAGAAAAAAAAAGTACAACTAAGGCAGTGCTTGTACCAGAAACCCAACAGCTTGCCTTATATAGTTCAGTTCGTGCCAGGATGTTCCTGCATACTAAATTCCAGAAGTACCTAGTTAAACCTTAAAAATAAAATCATGCAGTAATAGCAAGCTCACTTTACCTCCTCCTTTGCATTAACTATCCATTTCTCCAGTTCTGCAAGCCCAGACTTTACATATTCACCATTTGAGAAAGTGCAACATTCGCGTCGCAACAGAAGGCTAAAAGATATTATGGGCAAATTCAATTAAAAACTAGAGAACTGAACTACAGAAAGCAATTCAACAAACAAAGCAAATTACTGATTTGAGGCAGCAGAAAAACTTAATCTAGTAGATAGGGGATTTTACCTATTGAAGAGTGTAATGTTGATGAAGGAAAAAACCTGAGTAACCAGCTTGCGGATGAAAAAGGATGGTACCTGAACACACAGCCTTTGGTAAGAAAAGACTAAGGGAAACAAATAGATCACATTGAATGGTTGATACTTATTGAAACAAACAGCTAAATGCATAACCATAAATTATAACTGCTCATTTATTTTCTAATAGAAAAGGGAATTCTATTAATTATGTTCTCAACATAAAGTGTGTAGAAAAAGCACTCTAGGTTTCAAAGAATTACAATATTTCAGTTCGCCACACCAAAGCTTTAACTAAAGTTGGCATAACTAAAAAATAGGAAACAATTAAGAAATCATAGTGTGTAAAACTTAAACATCCTCATTTCATGCAATTTTTACGGAAACATGATTATATTTTTGGACAAGTAAAGCATTTATAAACTTGGAAAAGTAATATACAAAAAGAGAACAAGAAAACCTCCAGAACTAAGGATGAGGCAGCAACAATGAAAGGAACAAGAGGCATTCCAAGCCAATCTCTTCAAATAAAAGAGACACCCAACTAAAAGGACCTTGAGAAAAACACCACATAACCATTTAAACTACTCAGTCCCAGAAAAGATCAGTTGAAGATTGTCAATATTTTGGAAACATAACTGGTCATTAAACAGGAAAGTGCACCGATTCAATAATAAATGAGCTAACTGTGATTGGACCAGTAAGATAAACAATATTTATTTCAAAGTTACCATATATTATATTAAAAAATGATCAACAAAATACAACATTATAAATTAAAAAACACTTTTAAATGCCAAAACTTATAAGTTACAACACTAACATTCAAAACTCACTAAAATTAAATATGACAATATTTAAGTTCAACAATATCCATTAGCAATAGTAACATCTACAAATAGAAACTAAGTAATTCATATAACTACCAGTCATCATAACATAGTATTCATTGAGGTTGATTTCATATTAAAACATGTTATAGACATTTCTAAAATGAAACCTGTATTTTGAAAAACTAGTTGAACCACCAGTTTGCCCAAATGAAGACTGGTTTTGCCAGTTCTTGTTCTATTCTTTCACGTAATAGCTTT